GGGGGGGGGGGGGGGGGGGGGGGGGGGGAGGAGGGGAGTAGCTGGTTTATCTCCTGAGGTTATGAAAACAGCTTTTTTTTTTTACTATTTTTCATTAGCATGGGTGTAGGTGTACTTTGTTTTCGCGCCCTAGTTCGTTTCGGTTGGTCGCGGCTAAGTTAACCTTATTTCCCTCCATATCTTCAGCACATTTTAAACAGCTTCCAAAGGGGAAATTGAGGGTGAAGGGTGAGAAAGGGGTAGGTAGTGAGAAAGGCGGTTTCTTTATGTGCCAGTAATCAAGTATGGCTAATTTATTTTATTACTTAGTTCCAGGATAACGAAGCAGCAGATGCAGTTGGCCTCAGCACGTGTTCTGTCGCGACGTTTAATTTCAACATCAAAACTATGTTCAAGTAAGCTTTGCTACGATAATAACTGTTGCGAAAGAAACAAGGTGCTAGTGGCACAGAAACGAAGCTGCCGGCTAAACCTCTTCGCTTTGCCCAGTTGCCCTTCGATTCCATGTGATATGGAAATGTTCCGTCTCCTTGCTCGTGTTCCCCCTTGCGTTATATGTAGTGTTGTGATTAGAAATGAAGTAGGGACTGTTTTCTGTGCGAAGAAAATTGCGCAGCGATGGCTTGGAGCTGTTGCCGCTCCTCGGCTCACTATTGCTCGATGGGAGCTTGGAGCTACTGCCGAATTTTTCGCGCTTTTGTGAGTTTTTGTTTTATGCTTGTACTAATAAAGCTTTATTTATCAATTGGGCGTGGACCACCTCAGCTGCACCCCCCCCCCCGCGCCCGTCCCCTTCTACGACAGCGTAGGCCCTCCTCCGGTCCTTACATAACTCCTGTTCAGTAATCATTTAGATTGCCTAGATTATCATTGTTGAGTTCCTATATTGTTTATGAGACCTAAGAGCATTTTGGATTTTACTGTATTATTTCAGGTGGTGGTATGGTAGTGCATCGCGATAGTGAAACAAATAATTGCAAAACACCGTTCAAGTTTACGGAAGAAAATATGAAACGTATAGAGGCGATTATTGCAAAATATCCACCCGAATACAAAGTTAGCTTTAGTTTTGCTATCTAATTGCTTTTTTGTGATACCACTTCTCTACAAATCCGATTAAACTAGAAAAAAGAAGCTAGAATTTTGCTCGTGTTTGACAGTGGAATTCACTAAACTAGAGTTTTGTATGTGAAAAAATTGAACTAGTGTTTTATATGTTTTTAACGGTGGAATTAATAGAGAGTTAAAAGAATCACACCCCCCCCCCTTCCCTCCTCACCGTATTCGCTCTTTTTTACATATCTGGAAGTGTTCAGAATGTGGCAAGTCCCAACACCTGTTACCAGGTAGCAAGACTATCGATGGCTTTCTTATTTTATGGAGAACAATGGATTTAAATCGCACCACGGAGAGAGGGAGGGGATGATCGATTTAGCGGTTTTCCAAGTAATCTTAAAGAGGCAGGCATTGTGTTATACTGTTCTTTTTTCCAGTTCTGAACTCATGTGTAGTATTCCCGTTGTTTCGGATGCCAAAATGAGTCAGGGGCTTCCCGTATTTCTTCGAGTTCTGCCCAGAGAAATGGCTGGATCCCTGAAATTCAAAGCTCTGCCGATATGTTTCTTTTGAAAGCTCAACGACGATATTCCAAGTTTACTTATGAATCGTCCATACCCACTTATCAGTTTAATTTTCAGTACCTTTTTCGGCCGATTGTGTGAAATTCTGTGAATTTACTTGTCTATAAAGCTCATTTTAGTGTGCGGCATTGATACCAACGCTGGATTTGGCGCAACGACAACATGGCTGGTTGCCAATTTCTGCTATGCATGAAGTTGCTCGCATTCTCGGTTTGTTTTTCCATCAATTTGCAGGCTGTTTTTTTCGTTGTTAAAATTGGAATTTTGAAAATTTTTTAAATTTAAGCCGAATTTGAAGTAGCTCTTTGTATTAAAAAATTTACTGAGAGTAATAGGATAATGTAGATTCCTAAAAGATGAATG